CTTCACGATCCCAAATGTCGATTGGACTACCCACTTGCTCTGATTAGGCTCCCCCATGCAGATTTTCAGCCTCGATTACTCCTCCAGGAGCTCTTCTTATTAATACCAAGTTCAAGCTACATTCAAAGGGTTAAAACACCAAAACCAAAATTCTCCCACGGAGCAAATTATATTTTCCTGTAATGCACTTTCATTATCTTTACTTGCTTTCCTAGGAGTAGTGTTAGATTGTAAGGAGAATCCGTTCATCAATATATCATACGACCCTTGATTTTCAAGGCGCCGGAGCACCATCTCTGTTACTCTTTCATTCATCCCATATATCATACGACCTCACTGAGCAACGCCCAAAATCCACCATCCACACCACCATTAAACGGCCTTATAGCTCAGGCCGTGAACCTGACGGCTGAGATCAGTTCCTCTCTCGGCCACAATCGTTTGATTAGAAGTCAAACCCAAACTGGCGCACCACTTAACCATTTCATCTACATCACCATCTCGACGTACGGTAGACCGTGCTGGCACGCCCGCGCACGACCGCACCACATCCAAAAGAAGGAAGCCACGTGTTAAAGCATATCCCCTCGGCCCGGAACCCCTGGCCGTGAGATTTGCGCAGCCAACAGAAGTATAAGTGGCTCAAACCGCCGGTTGAAGTCATTGACTTCACTAATGCCGAACCAACTTCACGGCGTCACTGTGCCTTCATCGCACCTCCGATGACTCTGATTCTTCTTGGGTTATACTCACGAGATAGCAGGCTTTCTATCTGGGTGGGTGGTGTGGATCACCTCCATCGTACACCGCCGCAGAAACCGCCGGAAATCGCTTCTCCGACGAGCTCTCTAACCTCTGAGTTAAAATGAAGTTTCTGAAATTTCAACAGTGCCCCTCTGTAATTAATAGGCAAGGAGTCCGTTACTGTTTAATTTTTCAGTTAAGTCCCTTAAACTTCAAACGAGCATAACTTCTTCGTTTCAACTCGGATTCACGAACCGTCTGCGCCTACGCGTTCATCAGATCAAGATCGATTTTCCAACCCAAAAATCATAATTTTCTCACTTCAATTTCTTGTACATCCTTTGAAAAATCGTAAACTTAATCGTAAGGGTATTTTGTCCCAATTTGAGATTAAACTCACTTAATTCCAATATCTTCACATCAAACCAAATTCATAAAACACCCAATATAGTCACACAACTTAATAAGATTTTTCACAAAAATAATAAAACCAAGCATTATTTTTGAGGTTATTACATTACCCATTAATTTCTTTCTGAATTACGTCAAGTTTGATTCCGCCAAGGATATGTAGGCAATTTGGAAATTCAATCCAGATACAATTGCAAGTCCAAACAGAATCCCTGGTTTACCTTAACCAATTTCACCCCAAACACTTTTCCAACCACAAAATTAAATTGAATCCCTGGGCCAACCACATTCATCCAAATTCCAAAAAATATTTCTCACACCACAAATTCTTTCAAGGGGTCATTCATTCCTTGAAAATCCAATCAAATTCTCCAAAGAATTACGAGTAGCTTGATCCCTCAAAAGGAGTACGTAGGCAACCTAGGATTAACCTAGGTGCAGCCGCAAACTTATACAAATACACAAATCCCCCATTTAAGTTTAATCCATGTTGGAATCAAAGGGTGTTCTCTTTTTAATGAGAGATTGTAATTAAGGGACACTTTGTCTTGAATGAGTCGTACTTAAATAAAACTCATGTCTGTTAGGGACGAGAGTGAATTTTAATTACTTATTACATTTTTTGCCTAACAACTATAAAAGAAAAAAAAGAAACTGCTAAGATGGATGTCTAGAAAAATACGGGCGATAAAGGAAAATTTTTAAGACGACGATTTATCACACGCGCGAGATTAAAATATGAAACTGTTGAAACGGACATCTATATAAATACAATTGTGAAAAAAATATTTGCGAAACTTTGTAAGTCGCGCGTAGCGTGCGTGATTAAAAAAAAGCCTCTCGCACGCGCGGAAGCACGTGCAGGGAGCCTAATCTAATGAACTTTAGGAGCTAGGGGGATTCTTATTCAATTAATTACCCACACAATAATCTATATATATAAATATTATCCAAAGCAAATCCAACATTAATAGGAAAATTTCAAATAATTTAAGTAAAATAATATTTTCATTCTACACAACATCGTAGTTTTAGATTACGGACATAAATATTTACATAATATGCACATTGGAGGAAGACATCGTAGTTTTAGATTATAGACATAATATACACAATAAAATAATTAATAAGAAATTTCTAGAAGTGCGTCTCAACATCCCTGTTATAATATACTACTTGGCCATATTACCCTGGCCCTTATGACTTGTTTGGGGGGTACTATATGGCGTTCCTGTTAATTTTTCCTCCTTCGCCATTGCACCACGGTTGTATCAACCATAATCCCTGTTATAATATACTATAAACCTAATATGTCAGATGATACCTACAAGACTGATTAATATCCATTGTATCAATCTATAATTGCGTTGCTAGTGACGGCCGTCAATAATATTGTTTGGCCCAACAATTTGTGGATTACCTGGGGCATACTATCACAGCATAGGACGTTGGGTAGATCACAAGAAAATTCATTGCATTAAGGCATGGCCTAAGCCAAGTACAATGAAGGGTTTACGAGGATTTTTGGGATTAGCCGACTATTATCGCAATTTGTTCGTAACCTTGGGCTCATTTCCAAACCCCTAACCAACATGCTGCGCAAGGACAATTTCAAGGGGACAACAGTTCACGCATACAAGGCATTTAAGGCTCTTAAGTTGGCTCTGACCACTACATCTATTCTTGCACTACCTCATTTCTCCAAAACATTTGTGGTAGAATGTGATGCGTCTAATGTGGAAATAGGTGCCACCTTATCTCAAGATCGCCATCCCATTGCTTACTTGACTAAAGCACTGTCCGATAAACACAGGGTATACGCAAGTTTGCCATAGCTATGCATATGACCCTTAATTGGATGGTCAATATGAAGTCCTCAATTATTCCTTGGAACACTACATGCGATGTTTTGTGGGAAAGAAACAAGCTTCCTGGATCCAGTGGTTGCCTTGGGAGGAATGGTGGTACAATTCCACTAATCATTTTGCCATCTGCATGACACCCTATGAGGCAGTTCATGACAAACCACCACCCTCTATTTCCTCTTATATTCCAAGGACATCAGTCGTTGATGAAGTTGACACTGCCCTCAAGGATAGTGACTTTGTCCTTCGCGAAGTACGCCAAAACTTGCAAGTGGCTCTTGAACGAATGAAACTCTTTGCAAATAAACACAAGTCTGAAAGAGAATTTCAAATGGGTGATTGGGTGTATTTAAAGTTACAACCTACTAAGTCACAATCCGCACTTCCTAGTACTCAAAACTCACTCCGCGTTACTATGGTCCTTTCAAAGTTCCAGCGAGAGTTGGTTAAGTTGCCTACAAGTTGCCACTAGACATTCTCTTTGGAATATATTATTTACAAAATCTTTTTGCAAAAACCAGATACTACAACAAATTCTTATAAATTGTTCAAAATATATTTGCTGGTGCTCTGTTTTTTCTGTTTTTCCTTTGGTTGTTGGCCCTCTTGTTCTTGTTTTGTTTGCCTTTTGTGGCATGTATGACGTCTATTATTGAATTCACCCGACTCGATAGTATAGTACCCATTTTGGGAACGTCCAGTGCCAAAGTCACTGAATGGGTAATCTATATATTATTAATTGGAGCCAGGGTGTGATCAAAGATATGTATTTTGAATTGCATGTGCATAATATTTTTTTTTTCTTGTTAGTTTATTATATTCAAAAGGAGGAAACATAAAGGGGTCTCATTTTTAATTTCTGGCCCCGGGCCACCCAAAAGTCGGGGCCGGCCCTAAGAGAGAGATTTGATGCCTTTAGAGATGCCGGCGCCTATAAAGAAAGGGTACTTGAATGAATCGATCTGTGATTACCAAAAGGAACCGTGGATCACAAGTTTAACATGTCTTGGATATTACTTGTGATCATCCATTTAAGCTTCATTATAAAAGAAATTTAAAACAAAAATGATATAATATACATGCACATACGAAATCAAAATCTGAAATCAGCTAGGAATATCCAGAAAATACCTCAAAATTTTTGCAACACTAATTTACAAAAGGGTCCGCAAGCCTAGTAAGAGATATATATATTTTGCAACATTAATTTTGTGCTGTTTCCAAATAATAATAATAAAATATTTTATTTTTCTAATATTCATTGATTTATCCTAAATATGAATATCAAACTATAAAAGTTGGAACACAGAGGAAGCTGAAGCAATGCTTAATTTCGCAACAAAACTTATGGCCGGCGGCATCTTAGTTATGAATCGGAGTATTCTTTTTTGCCGGAGTGTAATCCATAGCCGCTAATTCGTCAGTGTCACCAGCAGCAGTACCAGCTTGGTTCGGACTAAACTTATAGTCCATGCCTTTCTCACCATCGCCATGCAAACTCAGCGCTGCCATAATAAACCATCCACACAGAGAAAATTTAAAAAACAAAACAAAACAAAACTTGGGCAGTTTAATTAGGGTCAAAACGTGCATATTTTCGACCCAAAGTATGAATTTATGACTAAATTAAATTTATATTTAAGTTTACCTCTACCAGCACTGGGAGATATGAAGCAAAGCAAGACAAAAGAAGCAAGAAGAAGAAAGCGCTTGCATGACACCATAGCGATCTAAAGTTTGAGTTCTCTCTGGTATAATATAAGATATTATATATTCTTTTAGCTTTGTGATCAATATAAATAATTGTTGATGTACAAATTAATACTTTAGCAAGCTGCTCTTGGCCTCTTATATATGGAGATAGAACAGTAGTTTTCTACCCAAGAACAGGGACATGTGGAGCACTTCAATTAACGTGACACGAACCATGGTAAGTAATATTTGGTGTGTGATCTCTCTTTTTGGGGTCGACATCAATGTCTCCTGCGCATGTTGCATGAAAGAGATATATCTAGTACTACATGGCTATGTTCGGTGACTTGAACTGTAATGGAATATTTCAATAAAATTGGACAACTATCATGATCGTTGTTTGGCAAACTCATAAATGTTTGAATTAGACTTATCAACATGTTGTGTTTTACAATTCCCATCTAAAAAGGTGAGACTCATAAAAACGGGCTTGGACTGAACTCCAATCCAATCAAAGACAGTCACCGTGGTGCTCTGAGAATATGGTCCTTACCAAAACGCCTTAGTTATGCGACGGTTATCCGCAATCCATGCATCAATTGGTGCTGTCTCACTTAATTTTGTCGCTACATTTCTGTTTTATCTTTTGTTAATATCAAACACTTTAATATTCTTTCATGAGTTTGACCCACTGCAGGGGGTTGGAGGTGGGGGGGACCCCGGGCCATATATAGCATGTATAAGAGCACCTCCACTGCAAAAGCGAGGGCAAGCAAAAGGGGGCCCCAGGCCCAAAAACCCCTCTAGCGTGCAAGGTCCAGCCAAGGAAAGGGGTAGGACCCACCAACCTGGGCAGAGTCGAAATTTTTTTTTTTTTATAAATACCTACCAATATTTTTCACTTTCCACAACAAATCTTCATACAAATTCTCCTCCTTCAAATTTTTTTCAGTTTCCACACCAAATATTTTTCTCCTTCACTAAATTCCATTTGTGTAAAAATACAAATGGCCTCTTTCATTGAAGTCGGAGGTGAGTGGACAACCGTGGAAGATATTTTGTTGTGCGAGTGTTGGGTCAAAGTTGGTCATTGCCTAATCACGGGCAATGAGATAAAGTCCTCTCATATGTGAAGAAAAATTCATGGAGAATTTTGTGAAAGATCGGGTTCAACTCAAATGGAAATGGCATTGGCTAGTAGGTGGAAAATTTTGAATTAAGAGTTAGGGAAATGGAGAGATGCGTTGGTAAAAGCGAGAGACAACATTCGAAGCAGTCAAAATCTTGTCGACGAGGTAAAATATTTATAAATGCCGTTTTAATCAATTTAATGTCAATTTTTTTTTATATATATATATTTTCTTGCATTTCCATTTTTTTTTTTATAAATAAATTATTCAAACACAAAGGTGGTTCGGTGCCATTGGCCAAGGCAAAAAAGAATCACTAATGTTGGGACGTTGTGAAGAATTATTCGAGATTTAAAATTATTTCCATTGATCCGATGGTTGTGTTGAATAAGACACCGCTCCACGATTCACCGGCAACCAATTCGCCATTGGATTCCCCAATGGATCAAGACTCACCAATCCAACATGAGTCGAGGCCTATTGGGAGAAATGCGGCAAATGCCGAGAGAGGGAGCACTTTGAACACTAAATGTGCAAAAAATTTGGAGCAAATTGCTAAGAACGTCGCACTGAGAATTGAGAGAGAATTGAAAAGAGAAGAAGCTGACAATGCACGATATGAAGCATATGCAATTGAAAGGCAGCAGGCACAAGAACAAGACATGGAGGATAGAGAGATGAAAATCATGGCCATGGATACGAGCCATATGTCTTATGAAACAAAGTCCTATTGGAAGCTAAAGCAAATGGATATTATGAGAAGAAAGCTTTTCCATGACAATGGACTTAGCAACACGAATTGGTTAAATAATCAAAACCATTAGGTTGTATTGAAAGAGTTGCCATATGTATTAATTTGTTGTATTGTTTCTCTTTTATTGAATAAAGAAAGCATTAAATAATATAGCTATTTATTAAAAACATTTCATACATCAAAACAAACCTTAATTCATTACAAACCACACAAAAAACAAAAGCATAACTAAAAACAAACCTGAATTCATTACAAACCACACACAAAACAAAGCATAATTAAAAACAAAGCATAATTCCAAACAAAGCTTTAAACTTGACTTCATCCACCGTGATTGCCTTTCATCTCCCATATGTGCTTGATCAAGTCAACTTGACATCGCTCGTGAACATATGAAGATTGCATTTCCTGATAACGGTCAATCATAGAGTTGTTGTATCGACCATCCCTAATCAACGGTTCATGCGCCAGTGGTTGTCCATTTGCTCCCACGGGCCATTCATAAATTCTTGTCTACGCCATGTTCATGGGATCGGGTTCGAACATCTCTGGGGCATCATAATCATACTCATCCTCCACAATCATGTTATGGAGGATGATGCAAGTCATCATAATGCTTCGAAGTACTTCCTCATCAAACATACGGGCAGCACCCCTAATAATTGCCCAACGAGCTTGCAAGATACCAAAACACTTTTCCAGCAAGTCATCATAATGCTCCGAAGTACTTCCTCATCAAACATACGGGCAGCACCCCTAATAATTGCCCAACGAGCTTGCAAGATACCAAAACACTTTTCCACATCTTTTCTATAACCCTCTTGAAAGGCAGCAAAGCTTTTTTCCTTCTCCAATTAGGGATTCAGAATTGTTTTGACGAATGTCGTCCACCTCGGATAAATTCTGTCGGCTAGGTTGTACGCACCCGAGTATATGGTATTGTTGATTTTATACGTGATTGGGGGGGAATGACCTCTCAAGACATCGTTGAATACCAGGGATTGACCAAGCACATTGAGGTCGTTTTGAGATTTGGAAACTCCAAAAAAGGCATGCCAAACCCAAGTATCGAATGATGCAACGATCTCCAGAATTATACTTTTATGGCCCTTCCTATTCCCGTAATCTCCTTGCCAAGCAGTTGGGCGATTCTTCCACTGCCAGTGCATGCAGTCGATGATTCCAATCATGCCTGAGAAACCTCGAGCCTCGGCTTTTCGTAGAAGCCTTCGGAGGTCCCTAGGCGTAGGTTTGCGGAGGTACTCCCTCGTGTAGAGATTTTCTATTGCATCACAGAATCTGACCAAGCACTCTAGGATAGTTGATTTCCCCATCCTAGCAATCTCATCCACCTAGTCTGCAGATGACCCCAGATGCAAGCAGCCGCAATGTAGCTGTAAGTTTTTGCTTAGGAAGAAGACCCAAAACCTCAAGAGCATTGTACTTCTGAATGAAGTATGTGTCATAATTGCAAACATCATGCATGATTTTTTGGAACAAATGGGGCTGCATTCTATATCTCTCTCGAAAATAAGAAACAGTATATAATGAATTTGGGATACAGTAATCTTCCATGAGATTCTTATCCTGAAAGTGCTTATGTCTATCCACGTTCAAGGCACGACGATGGTGGTGTTGCCTCGATTGATTGAGCGTACCCACCGCTAAAACAAATTCTTCCTCTTCTTCATCCAACTCACAATCTTCTTCAGCACGTCTACGCCTGATTTTTTCATCTTCTCGTTGTTGCCTCTCCAACACCCTCCTCAGGTTAGACATTGAGAGTAGAATGTGTTTTGTAAAATCTGAGAAATGAAAGGATAGAGAAGATATGGTGTGAGAGGTCTGAGTTAAGGGTGTAGTTTTATAGAGGGATTTAAAAGATAGAGATGACACGTGGCGCAATTTTAGAGGGTGAAAATCTTATTTGAAATATGAGATTAGAATTTTATAATAAATATCGACACATGGCAACCGATAATCTTATCCGAAAATCTTATATGAAATTTGAAATCTGAATGTTATAATAAAATATGGACACATGGCAACCGAAAATCTTATCCGAAAATGTTATTTGAAATTTTAGGTGAGAATTTTATAATAAATAGTGACACGTGGCAATCGAAAAGCTTCTCAAAATTAATAAACAACAGAAAATAAATTAAAGTGAATAGTAATTGCCCTTGCCCTTACCCTTACCATTTAGGGTGGAAGTACTCTAATGAAACTTGGGGCAGCCATGTACACGTATAAGTTGCACTTAATTTCCACAATTGAGTTGTTCCTTTTGTTTCCACAAAAAAAAATATATTAATTACTTATACAAATTTTAATAGATTTAATTAGTTGTTAATTGTTTTCTCATACGATAGTTTTTTAATTTTTTTAATTTTTTTGAGAGGAAGATAAATTTCATTAATAACCTAAGAACATTATAAAAGAACCAGCATGTTAATTAATAGTGGCCCATTAAAACCTTTTCGGTAAATCACATGGAAAAACCCTTGAAAGAGGAATACCACACATACAACAAACTAACAAAAGAGTCCAGACGAAAACAGAAACACAGAATAGTCACCTCTAAAACAATTCTACCCTACCATACAGCAAACAAAGAAAACCTATTAAAAGAGCACACCAACGCCTATCTAGTTCTATCAAAGAAGGCCTCCTATGTAAACATAGTCATTTGTACAACGCGAGATTTGTCCAACATGCAATGGGTCAGAACCAATGAAGCACCAAAACGAAAAAATGACAGGAAAAAAGCACAAATAACAAACTTAAGCTAAGAGAAACCTAGCGAAAGAGCACACCAACGCCTCTCAGGTTTTATCAAAGAAGGTCTCCTATGTAAACGTAGTCCTTTGTACAACGCCTCTCAGTCTGTAAGGACTAGTGGCCTCCCGAGTGGTTTTTCGAGAACGTTGATTTCTATGCTTTGGACAAGACAAGAGCACCAATGTCGTGCTTTTCTCCTAGCGACAAAAGTCAAACTCCTTCCACAAATCAAGATCTCCAACCTAGAATTTGTGATCCTGAGATGAAATCCAGACTAGTCGCAGCCAAACCTAGAAGTCGACAAGGAAAACCTGACGAAAAAACCATACCAGAACATCAAGAAACATGCGCAATCCTCCCCTCAGGTAAGAAGGAATAGGCCACCACCGTACCCAACACCCCAAGGAGAAGGCAGAGACACAAATGAACATTCCAAAAGAGAATTATCAGGGAGACCTTGGAGACCCCTCGAGGCTGGTCTCCTCCTCCTTGTTAGCAAAACCTTTGGTACCAAATCGTCGTTGACTAGAAAAATCAATGCCACTATCGATCATATGCTCATCCCCACCATAAATTCCTGGAAGCACCACTTCCACTTTCTCTAGCCTTCCTCGACCTCGCTTTGAACGTGAACCTGCAATACGATCATGAATAGAGAGTACAGTAGCTGCAAGGCTATAAGAGAAATCCACAAATCAATCTGACACTGCCACTGCGCCAATAATCACTCCCACCTTTGCTCAGTCTGTAAGGACTAGTGGCCTCCCGAGTGGTTTTTCGAGAACGTTGATCTCTATGCTTTGGACAAGACAAGAGCACCAATGTCGTGCTTTTCTCCTAGCGACAAAAGTCAAACTCCCTCCACAAATCAAGATCTCCAACCTAGAATTTGTGATCCTGAGATGAAATCCAGACTAGTCGCAGCCAAACCTAGAAGTCGACAAGGAAAACCTGACGAAAAAACCATACCAGAACATCAAGAAACATGCGCAATCCTCCCCTCAGGTAAGAAGGAATAGGCCACCACCGTACCCAACACCCCAAGGAGAAGGCAGAGACACAAATGAAAAGGATTTTGAGAGAGACGATGTGGAAAATTGGCGAGAAACTTGATAGAAACCCTAACCCTAGTCGTTGCCTATTTGCTCTCTTCATATAACGAAAGAGCAACCCTTACTATTGTTAACACTTTTCTCATATGAGAGTTCTGTATGATATATAAATGTATATAAAAACATTGCTAATTAAATCAAGGTTTCTTTTATTACTGGGAATGGAGATTTAAAGTCAAGTCTAGAAGGAGTTCTAATTTTTCTGTCAAATGTTGTTATAAGCACTTTTAGTTATCAGAAAGCGTTTTTAACCATTTTAGAACCACTCCCAAACATACTTTTAAACATAGTTCCATCAATGAATGCAAGAAGAACAATCCATGGTGGGACTTCTATTATTTTCGGATAAGGCAATGGAATCAAGTGGGATGGACCTGGTGGTGGTGTACTTGGTGGCCCTGCGTTTTGTCCCCAATTTGCAGATACATTTGAACATTTGATTATCTTGGGAATTAAAAATGAAGATAGAGACCTTAATGCAAAAAATTCCCAGAAACATATAAGTACAAAATGAGTTAATTAAGGCACGTTTAATAATCATTTCAATATTAGTTTTTATTTTTAACTTTTAATTTTTCATGCTAGAGTATAGAGGAAAATGATAGTGAGGATGAGATTGAGAGAGAGAGAGAGAGGATGAGAGGGGAGGATGGGATGGAAGAGTAACAAAAGTGAAAATTTTTACTTGAAAGTGAAAACAATTTCAAATAGATTTCAGTTTTTTGTTTTTGTTTTCACTTTTATTACTCATCCCTCTCATCTTCCCTCTCAATCCCATCTCCACTCTCATTCGCAATTCCATTCTCTCTCTTTTTCCTCTATAGTCTAGCACAAAAAATGAAAACTAAAAACTAAAATTGAAATGGTTATCAAACAAGCCCTTAGTTTTTTGAAGTTAGCTCAAGCATTTAGGAAGAGTGGAGAAATATGTTAGAATTAAGATAGAGAGAGGATGAGAGGGGAGGATGGGATGGAAGAGTAACAAAAGTGAAATTTTTTACTTGAAAGTGAAAACAATTTCAAATAGATTTCAGTTTTTTGTTTTTGTTTTCACTTTTATTACTCCTCCCTCTCATCTTCCCTCTCAATCCCATCTCCACTCTCATTCGCAATTCCATTCTCTCTCTTTCTCCTCTATAGTCTAGCACAAAAAATGAAAACTAAAAACTAAAATTGAAATGGTTATCAAACAAACCCATGGTTTTTTGAAGTTAGCTCAAGCATTTAGGAAGAGTGGAGAAATATGTTAGAATTAAGATGAGTTAACGAGTTCGATTGCTCCCAATGTAACCTAAAAAAAGTGCAGAAAAATGTGGTTTGTAGCTATTTGTATCACGTTTACTAACTACATTGTTGTGAGGGTCAACAAAGTTGTCAATAAATGTAGTTATTTTATGAAACTTATAAAAATTTGACTATGAAATCATTTGTTTGCTTTCATTTTTTTTTCTTGTTAATTTTATCACGAGTTACTTATAATCGCTAAAAAGTGTATTAAATATTCCAAAGTCAAATAAGAAATTTTTGTTTTTGTTTTTTTAAAGTTGTTTTTGTGGTTTAGTTTTGTTGTGTGAGTTTATGGACCCGTTATAAAAGTATCTTGTAAATATATTCCTATAATTTGTCAAAAGAAAATGGCATATGTATACAATCCATTTTATTTTTTTTGGGTTAAGTACAATCCATTAGAGCATCCACAATGGGCTTCCTATATCAGCTCCTTAGACAAATTTTAGGGAGAAATTGGAAAATTACAACTCCAACCATACTTCCTATCCACCTCTTAAAACAGGGAGACCTCTAGGAGCTCTTAAATCCTAGGAGAGAGAAAGGACTCCTAGTGGCTCCTTATAATTTAATGTTGTTTTATTTAATGAGTATTTCAAACCTTTAATTAATACTAACTATTTTTTATATTATTTTTTTAATAGAGATGGACCAATTAAAAAAGAGTTATAGCATTTATGACTCCCTAAACTCGAGAGCATGATTGGAGTTTAAATTTTATAACGAGCTCCTAAAATAAATTTTATATGTTTTTAGTTAAAATTTAACTAAAAAATAGAGAGCATGATTGTGGATGCTTGTGGACGGAGACAAATGATTTAAATATATAACAATGTACTACGATTTTCAACTTGATAAAATATATAAATCATTAATTTTGCATCCAATTCAATCCAGGTGCGCATCACTTCATTTGGAATGCGCCTAAAACTCTCCGATTATATTTTATGATGTAGGGTAAAGATAAAATATGGGTCAATTCACTATTTGAAAGTAAGAAAAATAAATACAATAACTCGATTTAAAATGTGCAAGATAGCACATAAGAAAGAAATTTGTACTCAAGTAAGAAATATGGTGTTAATATGGGAGAAATGTAAATGGTTGAAATTTTCGGGTTATTTGATTAAGGGCTAGTTTGGCATTGCTGTGCTGTGAAAATAATCGTTGTCAGATTTGCTGTGAGAAAATAATTGCCGCATAATCATTAAACCCAACGCCTCTTCGAAATTGATTCATGCATAATCAGAAAATGAAAGCACATCATTAGCTGCTTTCCCTTATAGCTTTCTCTCACAGCAATTTTTAACAATAAGTGATTTTATCGTAGTTTACCAAACGGGCTAGGCTTCCCAAATTTTTTTAAAAATCACTTATCATCCCAAATAAGCAATACCAAACGGGCACTAACTTTGAAACACACAAAGATTTTTTAGAATATTAATATTTACGTTTTAGAATTAGTTGTCTATTAGGATATTATTTGTCAAATCTGATTATTTCTTTGTATAAGTTTAGGATTTTAATTTTTTTTTTGTTAGTTAAGTTTAGGAATATAACTAGAACTTTAAAAATCATAATGACAAAAATATTTTAGGA